AAAGTTCATTAACAATTTTATCATCTGATGAAGAAATTACTCTGCTAAGCCAGCCTCTGATATTATGTAGTTGAGTTTCACTGCAATGTGAGAAAAGATTGACTGCAGGAGCAAAGAAATTTGGCATATATTCGTCAGTTAAGAATTCATTAAGTTTCAGCAGAAGATCCTTGAAACGATCATCGAGATTGTCCTGGTGCCATGGCCCAATGTCTATATCCTTGTTGAGATGCAGCATGCAGTTTTTGAGGTGAAATGACGACAGCCCTTTTAGTGGACAGGACTTCCTAACCTGGATTGTCTTGAGAATCTTCAAACAAGCGCGACGACATTCGTTCTTCGAATCCATTTCTCTGATAATCAATTTTTCATTTTCTGAAAAACTCTCACGCCAGATGTGATTGAAAATATTTCGATCATTTCTGTTAGGACACTGATACAGGTCAGCTTCAGGATGCCGCTTTGCAACGAACAACTTATAGTTGGTATTATCAAGCTTATCTATGAGTTTAATGCATGGAACAATATCAATGTTCATTCTTTGTCCATAATCATACTCCACCTCAAGTGTAAGTGCAGGGCCACTTTCTCGTGGAGCAACACGTTGGACATCTGTTACAGTCATCTGATCTACTGCTCGTTGAACAATCGACTGAATCTTTCGTTTCACCTTGGTAGGACTCAAGAAGTCATCATTGACAATGGCATTATCATAAGCAGTCTTAATGTGACGTCGTATTTTCGTAATAAAAAAATATCCGGGTACTTCATATTCATAATCCGATTCCTCATTTTTCCATTTAGCTTCTGTGTAGTTCCACTCACCATTTGTTAACATCAGTGGTAGTAGAAGATCAAATTCATTTGGTTTAATAACTTTGAGCCCTTCATAACTACTGCCTTGTGGCATAATATTGCCAAAAGTATACGTCGTGTTGTTATCATCTCGTACAAACCTCTGAAGAGAGTGTTTAATGGCTTCAACAACTTCAATAGATCTCTTTCGCTCGTGAACCGGGATGGCCGCATAATAATGATAGTACCTTCTCAGCTCTATCAACAGTGGCTTCCGCCTTTGAACTAAATGCGTACTTTGACCAATGTCATCTTCTTCTGCCTCATCTGGGTTACGTTTGCTGGTTGACAATACAAATATATATATATATAAGGAAAAAATAACATTTTTTAATGAATGAGATCACAATGAAAGCACAATAATCATATATCTATCCAACCATGCTATTAAAAAAAGGAGGACAGGTTAACTGGGAAATCGTCACATACTAATAGTGATCTCATGATTTGTAGCAATGGTAAGACCAATTGGTAGCGCCAGTGTGGGAAGTTTCTGTTTTATTTCCACGTGTAATGATTAAATGTGCAGTAAAACTTTCCCACAAATATGCTTATTCAAATTTTATGAGGCAGAAATTACCTGAAAAACTACAAAGTATTACTTTCTTGCTTTTAAAACATTCCCTGAAAATTTCTGAAAATGCATTTTCAAATACTATAAACATTTTTCCAGGACCCCAAATTAGGACCTTCTTCACTCACAAAGTGAGTTTCATTCATTTTTTTCCCTGGCCATTACTCAAGCTGGATTACAGGCCTGTATTTTAACAGTTAGTTGTGACCTCTTCTGGCTACCAGAAGCACTTTGTCACTGAGGCTGTCCAAATTTCACTATTAAACAAAGTATGGCATATAACAAAACCAAAAATATGTTTATAAACAGAAAAGGATAACTCACTCTCCTGCTACAAGTCCAGTATATACAGCATATCCTATCGCACCAATCGCTGCCACACCGCCAATCGCAGCTGCAGCAGTACCAAGCCAGTTATTCCCAGATGCCTCACTGGAGTTTCGATCAGTGTCACCTTCATATAAAATACAATACAATGAACTTTATTTCTGGCAATAAACAAATCAAATTAACAGTGCTTATGATGTCTTCAGAATAAATTGCAAGAAATGGAGGAAACTGAAGTAAAAACGAGGTGTTTCCCCAAGAACATTTAAATAACATTATTTGCATTTTCCTTAAGACACAAGGCTAAAAACGAAAAGAAAAAAGGTAAATACATATACCTTGAAGGAACGGATTTTAGTTAGATGATGGAATTAGGAGAAAAACTTTTCTTTATATTTTCTTTTGAATTGAGAAGGGCATTTACATGTTTTAAGATTATTGTCAAGCGAGTTCCAAAGTTTAACTCCAACTGTTGAGATACATTGCAATTTTTTGTAGTTCTTACTGTGTTTAGCTTAAATACATTTCTTTGTCTAGTACTATAAGTGTCTGCGGAAACGAATGTAAAGAGTTTCTGCAAAGTAAATGGCAATGAAGTATGATGCACTTTAAACATAAAAATAGCAGTTTTCATCTCAATTATTTGTTCAAGTTTCAATAATTTCAATTTAGTAAATAGGGGATCCGTATGATCTAAAAAACAAGCTTTACTTATAATTCTGATTATTCTTTTTTGTTTTAAAACTAAAGGAACTAAATTTGTTTTAAATAAATAAGTATTCCCCCATACTTCAGTACAATAATTTAAATAAGGGAGAAATAGAGAACAATATAACGTATGAAGTGCCCGATTATTCAAAATATGACTGGCTTTATAGATTATTGCTGTACATTTAGATAGTTTTTTTGGATACATTCAAAATATGCTCTTTCCAGTTCAATTTGTGATCAATTAAAACTCCAAGAAACTTAGTTACATACACTCTTTCAATGTTTCTATTGTTTATACTAATGGTGTCATCAAATTTTTTACGGCTATTTGTAAATAATATGAAATTTGTTTTCGAAACGTTCAATGATAGCTAATTGACAGCAAACCAAATGTTAAGTTTATCCAACTCATTGCTTATTTGTCTACATAATACTTTCATATTTTCATTTGAACACAATACATTCGTATCATTAGCAAATAATATAAACTTCAATATATTTGATACTCTGCATATATCATTGATATATAAAATAAATAATTTTGGTCCTAAAATTGAACCTTGCGGAACACCAGTTACAACTTTATATACATCTGATCTAACTTCATTAAAACTAACATATTGTTTCCTGTTACATAAGTAACTGATGATCCAGTCCAAAGCAATACCTCTAATACCATAAATTTCTAATTTCTTAACTATAACAACACAAGATCAATCGTATCAAAGGCTTTTTTAAGATCGATAAATACTCAAATCGCTGATTTTTTTTTATCAAGAGATGTAGTGATTTCTTCGATCAAGTCTACTAATGCCATTGATGTAGATAGCCCTGTTCTTAAGCCATAGTGACTTTCAGTTAAAATATTATGTTTTGTTATAAAACCCTCTAACCTTACATCAAATAATTTTTCTAGAACCTTGGAGAATTGTGGCAACAACGAATCGGTTGGTAATTATTAAAAACATCTTTTTCACCAGACTTAAAAATTGGTATAACCTTCGCAAGTTTCATGTTATCTGGGAAAACACCAGATAAGAGAGATTTACTGCAAATATAAGTAAAGGGTTTAATTATATAAGTAATAACCTGTTTAAGTAGTACCATACTGATGCCGTTACAGTCGAAAGATGATTTACATCCAAAACCTTTTACAATATCCAATATTTCTATTTCAGAAGTATCAAATAAGAACATTGAATAAATATTCCTTTTCCCTAAGTAATCAAATATTGTGCTATTATGATTAGGTACCTGTATTTTATCAGCTAAATTCGGTCCTACATTAACAAAAAAAATCGGTAAAGCCATTTGCTATCGTTTTCTTATCCTTTACTTTCTTTCCTTTATCAGTAAACATATCTGGATAATTACTTTTTTGGCCTCTTTTATTAATAATATTATTCAATATTTGTACCTCTTATATTATTTTTATAATTTTGTAACAGATTAGTATAGTACTCTCGTTCACAGAATCGCAAAATAGATGTTAACTTATTTTTATATTGTTTGTAACGTTGTTTGGATTCTTGAGTTCTTCTTTTAAGAAATTGTTTATATAAATATTTTTTCTTTGTACATGCATTCTTCAACCCTTTTGTTATCCATGGTTTGTCTTTAGATTTATTATTGATATTAATTTTTTTTACAGGACAACAATTATTGTAGAATCTTGTAAAGGTATTTATAAAATGATCATAAGATTCATTCACATCATTGGAGGTATAAACTTCTTCCCAGGTTTCTTGGTTTAACTTATGAAAGAAGACTGACACTGATTCTTCATCACATTGCCTAGCATATAAAATCTTTTTTTCTTCATTTCTACTTATTTTTTGGTGGTTTACACAAACTACTGGTAAATGGTCATTTAAATTATTTATAAGTAGCCCACTTTTATGTTTAACATCTATAACATTAGTAAAAATTATGTCTATTAATGTGGCAGATGATTCAGTTATTCGACTTGGTTTATCTATGAGTGGAAAGAGTCCCAAGGTGAATAACAATTCTATAAAATCTCTAGTACCATTGTGATTTTCAAAGTTTAATAAGTTTATATTTAAAGTCTCCACATAAATATCTGATTTTTTATTACTAAATAAATGTTCAATTGCATCCATGAATAAATTTATATCAGACCCAGGTTGTCTGTATATACAACTAATGAGAACTAGTTTTCTGTATAAATAATTCAATCAGAAATACATTCAAATAAATTATCTATTGATGTCGTCATTTTATCGACAACATTATATTTAATCTCACTGCTAACAAAGATAGATACTCCACCACCTCGTTTATTAGAACGGGCCATATGACACATTTCATAACCCACTAGATAATACATATCGATGTCCGAATTTGTATCAAGCCATGTTTCACTTATTGTCACAATATCAAACTTAAAATGAAGATCATTTAGATAATCTTTTAATTTATCAAAGTTAGCTCTGAGACTTCTACAATTTAAATGAACAACGGAAAGACCTCTTTCACCAGCTAGCTTATTATTTAATAATATTTTAACAAAACAGTAGTTAAGTAGGGCCTATCCCTTGGACCCATTGCAGTCAATTAGCATATTAATTTTGTGATCAATCAATCAATCAATCAATCAAAAACTTTATTTATTCTCGAAATTGCAAGTACAGTAACATATATATAAACAATTATATAAAGCACAATAAAACATTACAAAAGACTTGTTCGATCAATAAAATATTATAAACAGATCGTTTTTCAACAAGTTCGAGCGCGATAAGAATAATATAAAAGCAAGCATAAAGTTAAAAGTTTTGCCTAAATTAATTAGGTTTAAAGTTTAAAAGTTTGTTGTCTTAAAAAATGTGAACAGAAAACCCATGTCTTGTGGGATTGTTATAAAACCATAAAACACTATTGTAGAGTACTACTACCACCCACTGCTACAATTACAGTACTGTTACAGTATTATCAGGTTTTACCTTGATCTTGACTCAAAGCATAATCACTACTGGCTTCAGTATTGCTTTAAAACAAAACAAAATAATACATTTGATTATACAATACTTCAAATTTGTACATTTAGGCCTACACGGTTGTATTTCTTTTCTTCTCACATTGGTGAATGTTATGTCCATATCATACACTACTCAAAGTTGAAAGAGTTTGTAATATTTGTAATTCAAACAGATTTTTTTTTTTTAACTTAACATGTGTTAATGAATTTGATTTTTTGCTTTGATGTAGTATAAAGTGAGAAAACAAATTCTTGATTGTTAACATGTTCAACTGACATCACTTAACATGTTCCAGTACTGAATTCATAATACAGAATTATGCTTTTTTATGAAAAGTTTAAAATAAAATGTTCAGATATTCTTACCTTTCAGTCAGAAGTTCATCAATAATCTTCTCGTCTGAACGAATTATTCTGTTAAGCCAGCCTTCAATGTTCTGCAGTTGGATTGGACTGAAATCCCTGAACAAATCTACGCTGTCATCAAAAAAGCTTGGCATTTTTTTGGTTGATAGAAATTTAATCAGTTTCCGCAAAAGATCTTTAAAACGATCGTCGAGGTTGTCTTGGTGCCATGGCCCAATTCTTCTATCGTCGTTGAGATGCAGCAAGCAGGTCTTGAGGTGATATGACCATAACTTTCCCAGCTGGGATTTTCCTTTCTTTTTCCTGATTGTCTTCAAGATCTTCAGACAGGTGCGCCTACATTCGTTCATCCCATCCATCTGTCTAATAATCGATTTTTCCATTTCTGAAAAACTTTCCCGCCAGATATGATTGTACATATTGTCAACTCTTCTAAGTGTCTGATACTCATCAGCATTAGGGTGCCGCTTTGCAACAAACATTCTACCTCTAATTTTAATTGACGGAACAATATCAATGCTCATGTGTCCTGAGTCATCATAGCAGACTTCAAGAGTAAGCGCTGGGCCATTTTCTCGTAGGGTAAAATTTATTTCATTTGGCAGAGTTACATCCTTCACATACTTCTGTATAACGGACTGCATCTTTCGTCCTACTTTAACTGGGCTTAGGTAGGTATCATTAACAATGCATTCATTCCAATAACTCCCACCAAGATATCCTTCTTTCTGAATAAAATAGTAGCCGGGTATGTCGCATTCACTATCAATGGCTTGTTCGAGTTTCCATCCACTGTTTTCCAACTCCACAGGGAAAAGAAGATCAAACTCATTCGGTTCAATTACTTTAAGTCCTTCGTAGACGCTACCCTGGTGCATGATCTCTCTACAATTGAAATGATTTTCTCGTACATATTTTTGGAATGAGCGTTTTATTTTTTCTACAACTTCCTTAGCTCTCTTCATCTTTTTATCTGGTATAGCAACAAACTTGTTATCATACCTTCGAAGCTCTGTTAGCAGTGACTTTCTAGTTACCTTTTTTCCACTAAGAGGAACATGTCCTCCCTGGGCTCCTCCCCTGTGATGAGTTTCATCTGCTTCAGTATTTACAGCTCTTTCAAATGCAGTTAAATTTTCTTCTAACTGTTCAAGTGATTTGTTCAATTCGTTTCCCATTCTAAACACTTTTGTCAAGAAATTACATCAATATTAATTTAATGAACTTGACATTAACTATATTTCAACTTTATAAATTTGAGCGTTTAAAAACAATTGCGTGCAAACCATTGACCTTGTTGGAGACCGTAACCCAATAACAGTACTGTGGTACTGTACTGTAAATCTTCACCTGTATAGGAACAGTAAATGCATTTAAGGAACCTTCAGCTGATTTGGTTTACTATTCTTTCCACTTGGTCTGTGATGTGCAAATGCGACAGATGTCAGGTCAATGAAAATCAGATCTGTTAAAGATGACAATAATTAAGATAAATGATATAATGGTTATATTAAATGTTATTAGATGCGAAAACACACATTTAAATTAAACACAAGAAACAAAATGTCAGCTAAAAGTATACAGTATATCTCTACGGTTGAGACCATAACGAAACAATAATAAAACAGTAGTTTCAGATATAAAAACATTCACATAGGGCTAAAGATCCTTAACATTCCACATTAAATTGAAAAAAATTACAAATCAATAATGTTTAATATAAATCTGACAATTTATCCTTAGGTCATTGGAAAAAAAAATTATTTTATACAAGCAATTTTTTTTTTTTTTGCCAAAAAACACAAATTGGTGAAATAGGGCATCATACTGTCATGACTGAAAATTTATTAATAATATAGTTACGATAGCTACTATTGACTTACTAAAGTTGCAAAAAAATGCATTGATAAGTTAGACAAGATAAATACAGGTCACCCTCTAATTAAAGACCCCTCCAATTAAAGACCAATTTTCAGTGGTCCCAAATTAACAATATTTTTTCTTTATTATTCTAATTAGAAACCAAATCTGCTAAAGACCATGAAAACTGCAGTCCCAAAAGTGGTTTTTAATTAGAGGAAGACCTGTACATGGTTTTAGAATAGTAGAATACAGTTCAGCAGCTACTGTTTGAGACAAACACTTAACATAGTGCTAAATTCTGCATATTCTTGGTCACCAGAGAAAAAAGTGACATACAGTAGGTAGGCCTACTGTATGTTTCAGAGGAATGGAACAATACAGTATATGTATAGTCTGATACTGATTATGGTCTATTGATAAAAATGATAAAACTAAAAAATATTAATATCAAACACATAATCAATGATGACGGTGGCTTTGGCATGTATTGATTTTGTAGAGCCCTTTTTCTGCAATATATTGTTATTGAATACTTTTGTCACATTTCCATTATATTGTGTTTTATTTCCCCAATTTTCGTTCTTAAACTCCACTCATGTTACTCAATTTTACACTTTTTATGTTACTACATTCATAAATTTCCAGGAGTCCGGATAAGCCAGGGCCGGCGGAACGTTTTTCAAAGTGGGGGGGGCCCACTTATAAGATGAATGGGAATATGAATCATACAGATCTGGAAAAACCTAGGGGATGGGGATCAACATTTTTCCCAAAAAGGAAAGGGGATCCGGGGGTCCTCCCCCGGGAAAATTTTGATTTCTAGATGGCGGGAAATCAAAATTCAAGGTTTTCCCCTCTCGAAAACAGTCAGGTAAACTTTCTCATTCTTATTCCAGTGAATAGGCCTGTTATGTGTGTATACATACATAAAAAAAAATTAGTTGTTGCATAAGTATTCTTTTTTCAGTGAATTGATAAGCTCCAAAGAAAAGGAGCGGGGGTTCCGGGGTTCTCCCCCAGAAAAATTTTGAATCCTAGATGGCGGGAAATGAGTTTTTTCAGACTTCTGAGGTGTCCTAATTACTTTTAAGTTCTTCAAATTTCAAGGTTTTCCCCTCTTGAAAACGGTCAGGTAATTTTTTCCCATTGTTATTACAGTAGATAGGCCTTATGTGTGTATACATACATAAAAAAATGAGTAGTTGCATACAATTTTTCCATGAATCCATAAATACGAAAAAGAAAGGGGGGTTCGGGGGTTCACCCCTACGAACATTTTGATTCTTAGAAGGCGGGAAATGAGTTTTCACTTTCTGAGGTGTCTTTTAATTACTTTTAAATTCTTTAAAATTCAAGGTTTTCCCCTCTTGAAAAACGGTCAGGTAAATGTATCGCTTTGTTATTACAGTAGATAGGCCTTATGTGTGTATACATTCATAAAAAAAATTGAGTAGTTGCATACGATTTTTTCCATGAATCCACAAATCCCAAAAAGAAAGGGGGGTCCGGGGGTTTCATGCTGTTCCATCCACCTTTACCACAAAACCCGACTTATCCACGAAAACTCAGGAAATCAAACCAGGGTCTCTTATCATAGCTAATTATACTCTAATTATCAGGAAGGCTAGACCGCGGTACATGAAGGGCTATCGCGGCTGGAAAAGTCATTATCTCAGAGGGGGTGCTGCCATAGCAATAACAATCAATTCCTACTGAGTTTACTATAAAAAGAAAAAAAAATCTATTTTGTTGAAAATCGTATGAAATATTTTAACATTTGTCTTTAGCAGAAAAACTGTCCTACCTACGAGTTCGAATCGTAAAAAACGAGCCCTTTTACGAGAAGTTACAAAAGTACAGGGCTATTACTGGGCGGGCTATTACTGGGCCTAGCCTTGGCCCACTTGGTATAGGCGCCGTCGTACGACGACATGAAGTTTCTGAAAAAGGCGGATGAATATATTGGTTTGAACGTGATTCACTTTGAATCCATTTATTAGTAATATTTTTATTGATGAAAATTAGTGTGTAAAATATTTAGAAACTACTTTAAATGTACGAATCGTTTAATATATAATTGTTGTAAATAAAAATAATACAACAGTAATTGGGAACTATTTTGCCAGCGTAATAACAGAAAAACTTCAGCAGTAAATAATAAAAGAGCGCTTGGTTTGATCGTGTCGTCATATGTTGTAAATTTGTAAACAGTGGTTGACAGTACTAAGAGATGAAAAAAATTAGGTCGGCAGAAAAATTTGCCGACCTTAAATTCTCAGAGGTCGGCAGCCTCGGCAATTTTTTACTACCTAGGACTATAGTATTAACTACGATTTTTCCGAACGCTCGAACTTACATATCCATGCATGTCCATGCGCATGCCCAGAATGATCAACCAGGGATTTCCCACATGTACTTGTTAGTAGCGAAGTCACGACTCACGATATGATCGTGATTGCGTTTAAACGGGCGTTAGGATTAGGCCTACAATTATGTTGTTTTTAGATAATAAACAACATTTTAAATATGACTAATACTGTAAAATGAAGACAAATTATAGATTTAGTCAAGCATCTACGGGGTCCACGTGGCTTCAATTTGGCAATGTTGTAGGCCTTTGTTGACTAGGCCTAGTGTCATTCCTACCTAGGCCTAGCCTACGAAACGACTAGACGAGAAAGACAAGACGATTGTACACAAATCGTACGTACTGCATGCCTATTATAAATAGTTATTGTACAAACAAATCTGTTTTATGAACCACCAATTTCCTTGGTTTGACGACGTACATGAAATTTAGTGTCTGCTATAGCCTGTTTCAGTCAAAGTTTTGGCTTTCCAAGCAGTTTTTGAAGCTGTAGAAAAAAACTGTTTAACAACACCTTGAATTTTTTTCTAATAAATTATAACAAAAACCGGATGATATTGTTGCATTTTATTTTATTATTTCTGTTAAACATTTGTGTTTGTGAGCATGGAGTATTGTGAAAGTAGTTCCAGTTTACTGTCTGCCTGAGAAAATTGATTCTGTTTATCTAATTACTTAACATTTATCTGATATCCTGTGGAGCTTGTAAATAGCTCAAGGACACTACACCCTGGTTGCAAGAGGCAAATTTTGGTAAAGGAGGATGGAACCTCATGTCTCCCGTGAAAATTTTGATTCCTAGAAGGCGGGAAATGAGTTTTCCCGACTTCTGAGTCTTTTAATTACTTTTAAGTTATTTAAAATTCAAGGCTTTCCCCTCTTGAAAACGGTCAGGTAAATTTTTCCACTTGTTATTACAGTAAATAGGCCTTATGTGTGTATAAATACATTAAAAAATTGAGTACAGTAGTTGGATACGAATTTTTTTTTTTTCATTAATCGATAAATCCCAAAAAGAGAGGGGGTCAGGGGTTCTCCCTCGGGAAAATTTTGATTCTTAGAAGGCGGGAAATGAGTTTTCCCGACTTCTGAGGTGTCTTAATTACTTTTAAGTTCTTTAAAATTCAAGGTTTTCCCCTCTTGAAAATGGTCAGGTAAATTTATCCCATTGTTATTACAGTAGACAGGCCTTATGTGTATACATACATTAAAAAAATTGAGTATTTACATACAATATTTTTTCCATGAACCCATAAATCCCAAAAAAAGGGGGGTCCGGGGGTTGTCCACAGGGGAAATTGTGATTCCTAGAAGGCGGGAAATGAGCTTTCCCGACTTCTGAGGTGTCTTTTAACTACTTTTAAGTTCTTCAAAATTCAAGGTTTTCCCCTCTTGAAAATTATTATAATGAATCAATGAACCCGAAGAGAAAAGGGAGGTTCGGGTTCTTCCCGGGAAAATGTTAATTTCTAAATGATGGGAATTGAGCTTTCCCGACTTCTGAAGTATCTTATAGTGATTTTAATCTAAGTTCTTCAAAATTCAAGGCTTCCTCTCTTGAAAACCGTCAGGTAATTTTTTCCCAAAATCCCAAAAAGAAAGGGGGTCGGGGGTTCTCCTCCGGGAAAATTTTGTTTCCTAGAAGCGGGAAATGAGCTTTCCTGACTTCTGAGGTATCTTTTAATTACTTCTAATTTCTTCAAAAATCAAGGTTTTCCTCCTCTTGAAAATGATTCAATAGAACCAATGAACCCTATAGAAAAAAGGAGTCCGGGTTCCCCCGGGAAAATTTCGATTTCTAGAATGCGGAAAATGACCTTCCCTGACTTCTGATAGGTCTTTTAAATGACTTTTTAAGTTCTTCAAAATTCAAGGTTTCCCCTCTTGAAATGGTCAGGTAAATTTTTCTCATTTTTTATTTTATGTGTGTATACATAGGCTACATAAATAAATGAGTAGTTGCATGCGTATTCTTTTTTTCCATGAATCGATAAATCCCAAAAAGAAAGGGTGATCCGGGGGTTCTCCCCCGGGAAAATTTTAATTCGTAGATAGCGGGAATGAGCTTTCCCGACATTTGAAGTGTGTTTTAATGACTTTTATGTTCTTAAAAATTCTAATTTTCTGATTGTAACATAAAAAATAATAAAAAAATTTTTAAAAAATCAGCTCACGGGTCCTGAAAAGGTAGGTCTAGATTTTTTTTCCGGTCACACAAAAATCTCCAGACGTTA